GGGGCGTGCGAGCTTACATTACACAGCTCATCCACTACAAGGAAGAACACAAGGGTGACATTAAACTGGGACATGTACATGTGAACACACTAAAAACACGTGTGCACTGACACACACTCACACACCTGTCACTGATATGTGTGTGTGTTTGTGTGTAAGTGTGGTGTGTGTGGCATGACTTGGGAAAATGCACAGAGCTGCATTGCAGTGCTCAGGCTGAGTTGGCATGCTGAGTACATAACGTACACACTGCGACTGCCAGGCGGACACACACACACACACAGTAACACACACAGAAAACAGCAGCAGTTTTTGCAGCATCATCACATACAGTTCAGCTTCTAACATGAGACACAGGCAGGCTACGATCACCCCACAGGCCTTAATGCTCAGCTCTCATGTCCCAGTCACATCTGATCTTCTTGTCCTGATGCTTCACATCCATGTGTGTAAGTGACATGCTGATGTATTTACTACACTTGAAGTTTCCCAGACCTGGTGTGTCCACAGCAGTGTGAACAGACCGGGTGTCCTCAGACCAGATCTGGGCCACTCACGTATGTGCTCCTAGACCTGATTCCTCTCAGCTGTCAGAACAGTCAGATCAGAATCCATGTGGTCGTTTTAACATCTCCTCTGCACATATGGCCTGTCATCATCATTCAGTGTCGGCCCCTCACAGGCCGGTAACAATAAACATGGAGGAGAGTGATGACAGCAACGAGGTCAGTGGAGAGACCAGGATGTTTTATATGCATAGGACGTTTATGGAGAAGCTTCTGATCAGGCCAAACTGGGAGGAACATATCGTAACCCGGCGGTTTGAGAGGAAACTGGGTCATTTGACTGTCACACACACAACCTGGTTGTTATTCTTGTGTGAAAATGGCTCACATTTCAGTTACATGTGTGCATATGTGGCAGTTTAGGAGCTCAGCGGTGTTCACACCAGAGCCAGGTACATGGCCCTGACACATGGATCAGAGCTGAGTGTTGAGGCCTGAGATGAGACTGGTTTGGTGTCTGTTTTAAAAGCTGTCTCTATCCAATATTAAAGAGATGACAGATGGAACTGTTGTGTACATGGTAAATGGACTGTATTTATATAGCACATTTTTCCACAGTGTGTTGCCAAAGCGCTTTACAGGAGATGATACGCCATTCACCCATTCACACACCAATGACGACAGGCTGCCACACAATGGCGCTAGTCAAGCCAACGGGAGTAATTTGGGGTTCAGTGTCTTGCTCAGGGACACTTAGGCATGCGGGGAGACCAGGAGTCGAACCACCAACTTGCAGGTCAGGAGACGACTGCCCTGCCCCATGTCTTTCTTAAACGGCCATACACTTGTATAATACTTTTTGATGCAGTGAAGCACGCTCAAAGAGCTTTTACACTATTTTCCATTAACCCACTCACACTGACGGCACAGCCACCAGGAGCAACTTGGGGGTCAGTGTCTTGCTCAAGGATACTTCAGCATGTGAACTGGAGAAGCTGGGATTCGAACCACCAACCCTCTGTTTGTCTGTTTGGGAGATGATCTACTTTGCCTCCTGAGCCGCAGCACGCTACGAAGATAAATCTTACTCCAATACAATCATTGTGACAACATTTAAAATAAGCCAAGACTTTATTATCAGATAAAACATGAAATCGGTCTCTGATGCAACAACCAACAACAGTCACAACAACAAGTTAACAAACAGCAACGGTAAGCCACTTCTACCACGCCGTCCGGTCCTCACGCCTCAAAAGGGCAGTGTAAGGGTTCAGCTTAGAACCAGGTTTAGGTCAGGGTTGGGGTAAAACAACCACGTCTGTGCTGGTTGCCGGGACGTCCCGACTCTGAACCAACAGTTTCTGTTTCTTATCTTCCATCAGCTCCACCTGGTACCAACATGTGATCGCACCAACAGAACACCTGCTGCTGATGAACGATCTCCATCCTGCCACTGTGAGATCAGCTGTCGAGGCTGCCATCACTGTATCGTATTTTTTTTAGCCACACTATAAAAGCACACACGGCTCTCTGCTGAGACAGAACATGTTTTAACTTAAACAAAGCCCTTTAGGCTTCCTGTTGCTTCTAGTCGTGCGTTTAAGAATCAGTCCAGACTGATACTCAGTGGTGGAAGCAGCAGGTCTGTCTTT